CTGAGATGGTTCTGAAATTCAGGTGGGATAGACTCAAAGTCATATTTTGGTTGCCTTGGATTTGGTTTAATTTTCCTCAGCTTCCTGAACACTACATACTTACACTCATCAAAGGACTTTATCAAGAGAGTAAAAAAAGAACATGTAGCTGGGGGAAAAAATGAAACAATAACATATTGGACAAGACTAAAATGTACAGAAAATATTAGCACTTTAATGATAGCATAAAAAATACAAGTTTTTAAAATGGGCAAGGGACATGGATACCTCATCAAAGAAGGCATTTGTGTGGTTAACAAATGAAAAAGAAGCTCAGGATCTTTCTTGTTATGTGCTGTTGTGTCAGCTATAACTAGTAGAGACCTTATGCACCCTAACTCTGAACCCTGCCCTATACTGAGCCAATCTCTCTGTCACCAACACACCTACCTCCATTACCCCAGTTATGGTGTCAATCCATTTCATCCAGGGTCTTCCTCCCCTGCAATGTCCCTACACCTTTCTGAGCATTATGACCTTCTCCAAGGACTAGAATACTCAACAACCTGTGTTATGCAGATGACATAACCTTGCTTGCTTAAACTAAGGATTACCTGGTGTTTGCTAAAGAAGAACTGAAGCCTTTAAGGTGGACTGAAGCTCAATATCAAGAAAACAAGGATTCTCACCAATGGGCCGATTGGCAGCATAATAATAGATGATGAAGAGATGAGATTGTTAACAGCTTCAGCTTGTTTGGCCTCACAATCAACACTGTTGGTATAGAAATATGAATTGCACTGGAAAAGTCTGCTCTCAGGCACCTCTTCAGAATACTGAGGAGCAATGATATCAATCTAGAGACTAAGATTGTGTTTGATCTAAGCCATGGTTTTTGAAATTATTTGCTATGCATCTGAGAACTGGACAATGAAGGACAATAGAAGAAGAATCGATACCTTTGAGTTGTGGTGCTGGAGAAGAGTCTTGAACATACCATGAACTGCCAAGAGAACAAACAGGACTGTCCTGGAAACCAAGTGGCTTCTTGGACGCAAGGATTTTGAAGCTCTATCTCACATACTTTGGACATGTTGCAAGGAGGGACCAGTCCTTGGAGAATGACATCCTGCTTGGAAGGGTGGAGGGGATAGTTCAGGAGAAGACAACCTTGGATGAGACAGAATGACACAGTAACTGGTGTAATGGGGGTAGGTGTGTCAGATGCAGAGAGATTGGCTCAAGATAGGACAAAGCTCAGAGCTACTGTATATAGGATTACTATGAGTCACAGTTGACTCAATGATACATATCAACAATACCACCACAAAATCTATGGTCAAATGATATTCAACAAAAAACAAAACCTATCAAATGGGTAAATAACAATCTCTTCAACAAATTGTACTGGAAAAACTAGACTATTACCCGCAGAAAGGAGAAAGAGGAACCACATCTCATACCATACACAAATAACAACAAAGGTGGATCAGAGACCCAAACCATAAAGATCATAAGAGACAAAGTGGGACCAATCTTAGAAGGCCTAGCCCATGGTATAAAAAGGCTGACAAACACAGCCAGGAATACACAACCAGGAAAGGATAAAAGTAATGACCTTCTGAAAAGTAAATAAATCTGTGCTCATCAAAAACGTTTTCCAACAGAGTAAAAGAAAGCCAACTAACTGGGAACAAACATTTGACAATACCATCTCTGACAAGGGTCTTGTAACAAAAGTTTACAGAATCCTACAGGGCCTCTAGAAGAAAAGGACTGATAATCCAATTACAAAAGGAGCAAAAGACATGGAAAGACTTTTCACAGAGGAAGACATTGGGATGGCCAAAAGACATGTGAAGAAATGCTCAAAATCACTGGCAATAGGAGAGATATAAATCAAAAGCACAATGAGATAATGTCTCATTCCAGCAGTAGTAGCAAAGTTTAACAGGATAGCAAGTAATAAATGAAGATATGAAGAGACTGAAACTCTCATACACTGTTGGTGGGATTGTAAAATGGTACAGCCACTCTGGAAGGCAGTTTGGCAATTCCTTAAAAAACCTGAACATATGAATAGATAGAAAAACCACAGTACTGAAAAACAATGAACTTGTAAAACATTACACAACACGGGCACATTGAGCACCCTGAGCACATCATGCTGA